GTGATAAGTATTAGTATAAGGGTTATGTATAAGGTAACATTTTAAGTATAACTTTTTACCTAGTATATATATGTATATATATATATATATAAATATATATATATATATATATATATATATATATATATATATATATATATATATATATATATATATATATATATATATATATATATATATATATATATATATATATATATACATATATATATAAATATATATATATATATATATATATATATATATATATATATATATATGTATTCTTATATAAGACTAAAAGTTTCACTGAAATATTGTAGTTTGTAGACTGAACACTATTCCAGCCCAGCATCAGATCAATAAATTCCAGCCCCATAAAACAAACATACACATAGCGTGTATGTTAGGCTGATTTGATAGCATCCATCAACAAGCAAATATTACAATACTTTTCAATACTGTCAATGGAAGGTCAGTAGCCCTGGTTGAAAATTTTGATGAACACTTTCACTTTTGGATTTATAACGGAGATATGAGTCAAATAAAAAAAAAGTAAAATGAAGGAATAATTTTTTTAAAGACAAAATAGCAGACAAAGCTCACGCAAAGCGAGAATACACATTTTAATTATATCGAGAGGTTTTATTGATTGGATATGATTCAACAAAGGAACGAATTCGTATGTAACTGTTATTCAAATGTTTCACTGAAGTCGAATCTTGACTCAATACAAGGTAGTGGTTTACTTCGATAATCGTCAAAAGTAATTAAACGGACAGGTTGAGTGATAGAGTACTCGTTAGCTTTTTAGAATACTCAGGTTTTAAAATTAAGTTAGGTTTAAAACTCGATTTTAAATTACACATATCTGTGATGCGTACGTGACCTTAGTATAGCAACATTTAAACCAGTAGGCAAAAAGTAATTCCTTTAGCCTATATAGAGAGACGACAAGAACTGATAAATTGTATCTTCCCTAAGAACCGTCTAGTGTTTCTTGTTACTTTACTACCTATATCTAAACTGATATATTTAAAAGCGGCCGTGCCACACATCATTTAGGTAAATAATCACCAACACGACTTGATACACATCACACCCAAGCCCACCCAGCTACACACCGCTACACCCCCTACACCCCGCTACACCCTATAAATCTTATAACCGCCACTGATCGTCAATCAAACTTGTAGAATTCCTGGTCTATCTGTTCTGCTCTAATAAACTCGACACACCTTACGTACCCACATCGGTTAAGTAACACCTGCGTTTGCTAATCTACGATCACCTCATTCAAAAGGTGATCTAAGACTGGCGTTAGACTGTTTATAATGCGGCAGTCTGTCTGGGTGGAACTGTTTCACACGGCTGTACCAAGCTCTAGTGTTGATAGACTAACCGACAAACTCTAGTGGTTGTACTAAAGTACCCGTAAGGTCTTACAGTGCTGGTGGGCACAGCGTCAACAAAATAACCTAGAATGTCAACATGACGAAGCAGAACAGACCGTATCACGCTCCCTAATCAAGGTGAATTGATTAATCCAATCATTCGATTCGATTTATTGGAAGGATTTCAGTGATAGCGATTTCATTTTGTTATTTTATGATTATAACTTTTACCAAGGAACAAGTGTAGTATAATAAGTGTTTCATTATAACAAGAAAATGGACAAGGCTTCAAATCGGATGTATGTGCATTAATTATTTACTTGCTTACCAGAATCTTTAAGCCTCTTACCAGTAACATATTGTATTTATATCTACTTAGTTTCATCTTAGTGTTGGTGATAATCAGCTTGGCAAAAAACAAAAGAACATGATGAAGAGAGCAAAGGTTAAATCTCAACCGAAACCTGACGTAACCATTTCTAACGACTACAGCGTGACGCGACTTCCGGTGTGCTGTAACGTCAGGAAGTCTCTGGCACCGGTGATATTCTTCATGAAACTGCTGGGCCTGTACCACGACTGGGAGGGCTACTGCCCAAACACCGTGGTGCCTCAGTCTGACGAGGAAAATGTTCAAACCCCACACCACAACACCACCATCGATCCACTCAACCACACAGCCTCCAAGTTTTCATCAACATCAAAACGGGAAGTACAAAGGCACTGGACGCGAATATTATCCAAATATTATTGTATTTTTGTCATCATTTTACTGACACTAAACGCAGGCAGATTTTTATGTTTTTTCATAAAATCTAAGACAGAAGGTCTAATCTTCAATGTGGTAATGATCAACTGGTACATCCAAAACCTCGCCTGTGCTCTCTGCCTTCTTATGGCTTGTTGGAAGAAAAGTCTTCTCAGGTTAGTTTACTATATTTTTTTTCGTAAGGCACATTGCGGTGAAAATTTCTTAGAATATGCTTTATGATAATATATGATATAAAATTAGCAAATGGTCTATGAGAAATTAGACGTAGGTCAGAATACACATTGTAAAACACTAATTTTACGCACTATTATGAACACTTTAAATGGAAGGGAATCGCGTAGAAAAGAAAAGAATTGAATATCAAAAATGATGTACAAATATCAAATTATTATGCTATTTATTTATTTATTTGTTTGAGATACTGGAAATCATTTTACATTTGACAAATTCAAGATAATGTAATCTTATACCTTTGTATAAATACAAATATTACCCCCCTACCAAAAAATAACTGAATACAAAAGATAGGTATTTAAAAGTTGCAGTTAAAAAGTAGGTCATAGTTTAAGTTCAGTGCATTGAAAATATTTAGAATGTGATCTTCTATGTTAGTGGGCGTGGCGGGAGGCAGTTGATGATATATATGAATGTGAAAACTGTTGGGGACAGCTGGGTATTTGGGTAGTCCATTGCAAGGTCCAAAATTTAGTCCTAAAACACGTAGAATCCTCGCAGGCAAATGTCCCCGTCCCCCCTCCCCCACAACAACTTCAGGTTTACAATGTACAGGGCGTAGAGGATACAAGTCTGGAGGGAACCCACACGTTTAACAGCTGGAAACATGGGTGAGGTAAATTCTCGCTTCTTAATAAGACTGTTCTGTGTGCTTGACTCAAGGGTACAGCATTAGCTGCAAATGAAAGAGTGGTGAAACAGGGTGGCTGTAAGGACAAACAACATTAATGCTGGTTTCATTATCGAGATTAGCTTGACTTAAAATCTGTTGATAAATGCATTCAACAAATAATGTTGCTGGAAATAGACAATCAATGTGTATAGCTTTTATATTTGTCTACGTATATAATTTATGACGTCTAGTTTACCTTATAAAAAAAGTTTAAAGACACAACAAATGTAATACTAAGATATTCTGACATACACGGACCAATAGTGTGCATATCGTTTTATTTTAATTAAGTTAAAGATATCTTGTTTTTGTAATGTTAAAGAAATAAAATGATTTTTTCTTAATAAACAACCGGCAACTGTTTTATCTAACAGGGCGTTCTACAAACAATGGAAGGATTTGTTTAACGACCCAATCACACGAGACCTGGGGTTAGAGGTCACCAACTGCCGGACTGCCATCGTTGTCATGACAACTATAGGTCTGCTCTTCATGGTGGTCAACAACTGTGGCGTCTTCATCACATTTTTTAACACAGACTTGTCTATTCAGGTAGATATTATGCTATGTAGTAAAACACACTTCTACGCACCCAACACCAGACCTTACCCAAAAACAATAACAAACTGACCGACATTGTAATACCACACACACCACAACCCACACAAAACGAACCTCAAAGCACAACCAAAAACATCACCAATCATCACCCAATCAAACTCTACATCCCAAGCACCACAACAGTCCCCATACGCCACCACCTCCTCCCGTCTTATTCCGTCCTACCCTACCTCACACCACACCCAAAGCAATAAACTATGCAAATATAAATTACTGCTGTACAGTATTGATAAGGTTAAAGTAACAAAGATAATTATATAGAGTAGGGTTGTGTAGCGAAGAGTAAGGTAAAGTTGGGCAAAGTAGGGTAAATAGGTAGACTAGGAAACATAACAATGTTTGTTGGATAAAGCTTAACGGGATAGTTGAAGTAACGGAAGAGAAAGGTAGTATGTAGTAGAATAAAAAAAACTGCATAATCGGGTGGAGTAGAGTAGGGTAGATTAAGGTGAGGTGGAGTATAAAAGGGTATCGTACGGTAGGGTTAATGTTAGAAATATATACTCTACAAACTAACTGTTCAGGTCTACCTTTAGCAAAACATTACCTTGACTCCTACCTGAAAGTTACTTGGCCGTATTGCATATCTAGTGTCTTAGCTCTATGTCTATCATCGGTCAAGGCTTATTTGTTGTACATATTTGTTTCTAATGACTAAACCAATAGCTCGCTATACGAAACTAAGTTTTCTGTAAATTTGCTTAATCAATATAATTTGTATTTAATTAATGCAACCAGCCAGTTATTGAGAACATTCTGATCGCCCCACTTCCGGTGTCCGGCTGGAGCAAGTTCCTGGCCGTGATTCTACACATCTTCAACTCTGGATGTTGGTCGCTGGCCACAACTTTTGTGTTGTGTGCGGTCCATTTAATTACCGCACACTTTAAACTTATTACAAAACTTCTAGAAACTCACGTAAGTTAATGGACCATTTCATTATTGCACATTTTAAACTTCACACAAAAGCTCTACAATCTCAGGTAAGTTTGGACAATTTAGGTACCGCATTTTTAACTTCTTACAAATGAGCTATAAATACGTGGAAGTTGGTGGTCATTTTAGTTACTGTACATTATCAAAATTTCAAAAAAATTAGAAAATAAAATTATATGTTTTTTAATTCTTATTTGAGTAGTAGTCATTAAACACTTTACAAAAAAAAAACACTACATAATCGTTTTATTAAAAATAGCAATCATGTAGTTAGCACATGTTTGAAATTTAGAGCACTAGTTATTTACTATAATTTATGCATTGCCTCAGCCTAGTATAACATATTTTTGTATTAAACTTTATCAATAAATTATAACACATACTTATGCAGATAAAAGCAGCTGCTACTACTATCCCGCTAAAACTGAAAGAAATACGAACATGCCACTTAAGATTGTGCCAACTTTTAGAAACTTTAAACAGATTTATGCAATATTTTGTGACCATCACTTACCTGGCCACCATCATCGGCTGCTGCTTCCTCCTGTACATGCTGATCTACTCCAAGCTGGAGGTCTTGTTTATAGCGATGGTCGTCTTCTGGCTGACCTTTAATGCTCTCATAGCGTTAACGCTGTCTATTGGTCTGTCGCAGGTTCACGAGGCTGTGAGTGTCTTGATATTTCCTACCAGTATCATTACTATTATTATCATTATAAATATCATTATTTTATTACCTATCTACTGGTGTTATTCTTTTATATTACCAAGATTGTTATGTTATAATGCTTACTACAGACACAAAATAATAAGATCAACACTTGAAATTTTTGGACTCTTTAATTATCAGTTTTAGCTGCAAAATAAAAAGTTAACAATTATTTTAAGGAGTGTGGTTTTTACAACTGTTATTTTTAATTTGTATTTAAACGTGATTAATGTTACTAACTCAGACGTATTTATTTTCTTAAACATGTTTAAGGCCCACCAGCCATTAGAAGCATTGTTCACCATTGAGACATCGGATAAGGCCGACACATCGCAGGCGATACAGGTTAGTAGAGATCTCTAGCACAGTCATACAGGTACAAACATAGCCTTACATATAAGTAGAGGTATACTAACAGGTAGAAACACAGGCTTAAAGGTATAGCTACAGCCACAGGAATATAGTTATAAATATGCATACTGGCACATGTATATATTTATAGTACAGCTGCATGTATACAGTTATGTGTATAGTTACAGCCATAGGTATACAGTTATATATATATATATATATATATATATATATATATATATATATATATATATATATATATATATATATATATATATATATATATGTATATCTATATCTATACCTATATATATATATATATATATATATATATATATATATATATATATATATATATATATATATATATATATATATATATTTATATATATATATATATATATATATATATATATAGCCACAGCGCTAATATAGAGCAACGGCCTCCCATATGCGCAAAGACACATTTATATAATATAAATACAGCTAAAACTATACATGAATACACCCGACAGCATATTGTCCAAGCTAAAGCCACACATGTAGATATCCTAACACAATCATACACGTGAATGTTGAAAAGCTCACCACAACCAATAAAAAACAAGTGAATGAAAGCTGAGAGATATTACACAGCACATTATATCACTGTTTTATACAACGAACGTTTAATTAAACATAATTCCACAATGACTTAGAATGTTTGTTTTTAAAAAAAATTGAAATTACATTGTGCTTATTTAATTCTAGGAATAATTAATTTATAATGAGTCAATTAATAATTTAAACACTATTCATTGTACTGTAGGCTTGTACATTGTGTATATGTTGTATATATATATATATATATATATATATATATATATATATATATATATATATATATATATGCCTATATAGGCCTAAACAAATCAATCTACCCCTATACTCTAGCTGCAGCTGTTCCTATCAAAGCTGACTGGCACGTCTATAGGGGCTACAGTTCTTGATTTGTTTACAATCACCAAGGAGGCGCTGCTTACAGTAAGTGATGTCTCTTTTCCGAACAATTTGTTATTTTATTTTATATTTTTAGGAATTCTCTTGATATTTGAAGTTTGTTTAGTTGATTGAAATCACTAAAAATAATAAACGTGGATATGATTTATATTGTAATTAATTAAAAACATGTTTTTGTTTCTCATTTACTACTCGGCCTAAATCTACATCATAGGAATTTTTTACTACTACTTTGGAGATTAATTTCCGGTTAATCTCATTAAATTAAAAGTTAGCACTGTTTCTGCCTAAATTAAATCACCTTTTCATATCCTGTTTTTTGTATTCTAAGTTTTTTTTTGTCTTTTCAGATCGCAGGGGCCTACATCACGTATTTTCTACTTTTGATACAATTCAACCCGTGAGCATCGTAGCACAGACTACGATTTATAACCACTAGACTCTACATACCATTTGATTCTGTTATGATCACATCTTTTAATAATACTGTTTTTTTTTTATTTTGACTCGAATTATTTGCCAAATAAATTTCCAACCATCATGCAGGCAAAACTTTAATTTTGTTTATTTATTCAGTTACAGTGAATCAAATTAAAAATTTAAATTCATTTTTCGATATTCTCGGTGTTTGAAAATAAGTGTAGTTTTACTGTAATTTAGAGGGAATATATTATAATAATTAATATTAGTTTAGTATATTTCTCATTCCCTTCAATATTTTATCCCTATACCAAGCCAAATGATTTCACTAGCATCCATACACCTTTTCTTTTACGATCGCGAGATACATTTACGTGACCTTAAAATAAAAGCATACATACAGGTGCTGTTAACAATAAACGAAAACAGCCAATCGTTTAACATACGACATGTTTAAACCATGTAACTTACCCAATCAACTACAAGCAACAGTAGAGTAATTCAAAAATAACACGACAGCTACGTAAGTTAATAATCTTATACAGTTTTATAGCAATGTAGACATTGCGTATGATTTCACTGTCAAAGGTAGACAAATGTGAGTAATATATTCAGTGGAGTATACTGCACAGTCTTTTTTAAAAAAAATATATTATGTTTAAATTTTTATTTCATTAGCAATGTTTGTTTTATCTAAGTGCAAATAAATCAACCTATTGGCAGGACTAAACGCACAAACAGATTTTCTAATTACGAATAATTAGAATCACCTATTATGTTCCAATTTCTTATAATTACAACTAAATCTATAATATATCGACGAAAATACCTAGTATCTAATTTTTTTTTCAGTCATTTATGTGGATTTAATGCCTTATAGCTTTTACTTTAATGTTTACATACCGACACTGTATACACAAATAATTTACTCTGCTAATTTCAAATTCGTTTACCTAAATACAGACCGTCTATTTATCAATTTTATTGATTAGTGTACAACTAAAGTTTAATGGGTCGTCGGGTTCATTCCAATTATTGCCGAGATTCTGTTTACAAAAACCAAGATTTTCTCCAGTTTGATTTACTCCCCTTTACAATAACAATTTTTTAAATAATTTGTTATTGAATCTTTCTTGGTAAATTTATATTTACATTATCACTGGGACTCTATAATTATAAATTCTGGTATAATAAGACAAGTTATAAAACTACTAATTACCGTAGTTGTTTTTATTTCACCCAATCGGTTTTCTTCAAATGGCGTTCATCTTGACACTTTCGATTCAAATTATAGTTGCATGTGTTATTGAGTGTAGAGTACCACACTGTATGGTTGTCATTGTTTATATAACTATGTACGCGAGCGATACAATCTACAAGCACTGAAATATGGTAAACTGTTAGTAAAATAAAAAAATTAATCACGTGACTTTTGTAGAATGGGTCAGTCTGATGACGTCAAAAGTGAGCAGGACTGGGTCCTGGAGACCAAGACCTGGTACATCTCTGACGTCACGCTCAAATACCTTGACCTCATCCTGACGGTCACCGTCCACGGGCTGATATCCGTCCTGGGGGTCGCGTCCAACGCCGTCAACATGAAGATCTTTGCCCAGCTTGGCCTGAGGGACAGCATGAGTGTCGGGCTGTTCGTGCTGTCCTTCACCGACCTAGCCGTGACGGCCATGCAGGTAGCCAGCTGTTTCTCCTACCTGGTCGAGGTCGTCTATCCCACAAGCCCTATTGACCCCTGGTCGCTCGGCCACTTCGCCTTCAGCTGGGCCAGGTACATTTCGTTTCTCATATCCTGCTGGATCACCACCTTAATCACCACTGAAAGGTGTTTTTGTGTGGTGTTTCCGTTCAAGGTGAAACAAGTCTTCACCATACCGCGGTGTATTTTGGCGACGTTATTAATCTACGTCGTCCATATTGGTATCCATTTACCCATCTATGCGTATGCTCAAATGGCTTGGGTAGATGTGCCAGAGATATCTCCTTATGGGGATTTAATGAACACAAGTAGAGTCGTCTTCACAGTCACGTTCACAGAACTCTCCGCAACATGGGAGATAATCGCCGACATGGTCGCTGGAGTAACTCTGTCTGTCCTGTCCCAGGTTATCCTCATCTTCTGCACGCTCTACATGATCTACAGCTTGAAGAAATCTTCCCAGATCCGCAAGGGAGAGAAATCTTCAAGTCTCGGCAATGACGCAGACACAAGCGGAGACAACTTATCGCAAAGGGAGAGAAGGCTGGTCAAGGTGGTGCTGCTTCTGGCCCTTGTTCTGACGTCATGCAACGTCCCGCGGTTCATGGTGATCGCCATCCACCACCTGTTCCCAGGTATGAATATCGGCGCCTACCAGAACCTCAACACCATCCTCTGGGACATCTCCTACATAGCCGGTACCATCTACTGCTCCAGCACCATCTTCATCTACCTCAAGCTTAACACCAGCTACAGAAAGGTGTTCATTAATCTGTTTCAACCAGGTGTTTAACTCAACAACAGCTATAGAAAGGTGTTCATTAATCTGTTTCAACCAGGTGTTTAACTGAAACTCAAAATCCGCTACAGAAAAGTTTTATTAACCTGTTAGTGTTTGGTCAGGCGTTAAGCTCAACTCTATATACACAAAAATATGTAAAGTTTTTTAACTGACATTTTTGCAACATGGACTTAGCCATCAACATATTGCGCAGTATTTGAAAATAAACATATCCAATTTTTAAATATATGCTTCATTAAATTTTACCGGTTTGTACAGACGCATGAGTTCATCTCTTTGGCATACGGAGAATAATTAGGTCAGAACTATGTCCAGCTGCCTTAGATTCCCTAACCGGAGAGAGCTAAATACCAGAGTTGAGTTTTCTTTGTGGTGTCTTATAGACTCGAGCCCTGGATCAGGACGTAAGCCTTCCAGTAGAGTAAACCTTAGATCACGTATTATTGATTTTTGGTTTCTGTCAATCCAAAGAGAAGCTAGGGTAGGTGCGAGTGGGATTACCAATCAACTACGCGTAAAACTCCTTGGTAGAATATGAGAGTATTAACTACAACACCTATTTAATTAAAATAAACAATTTATTACTCTTATTGTTACCGCCTAGAATTTCCTTACCCAAAAGTCTTAAAGCAAATAAACTCCTCAGTATTTTTGTGATTACGTTTAGTGGTTGGTTGCCGAGACCGAGCTAAAGGAGGTTTTAATTGAAGAAATTGTGGGCCGCATGGACAATGTTGAGGAAAATACACTTAAACAACCTCTTCCTAACCGAACAAAGATAAAAAAAACGATAATTAAATGAAGAACCTAGCAAAGACCAACATTGCAATTTAAATGTATCTTATTGACATTAAACATGGGTATAGCATATTAGGTTGGTATAAGTCAAGGAATGTTTTTAAAAGGATCTTGATTTGCAATCTGAACACATTTAAGTAGTACTGCACCAATTGTGTTGCGATATCAGAAGCTTTATTGGCAACTATTTCATCAATACAAAACAATACACTATATCAGGAATCGAACTGCATCAGACTTCAAACTGTATCAGCAAGAGAAAGTATGTCACGTACGCTCCAACAATCTGTGGACGGAAACGCATATAAAGTAAAACATTTAAAGGCGAACTTCAAGTTTAACCAACCTGTCAAACAAAAATCCAAAACGAGAACTGACCGTGACAAGAGCTTGTTTGGTTATGACAAATATTCCCAGAACTGAGGCGCCAATCGTCGTGTCGGTCAACTTGGAGATAAACAGCTGCAGCTAGAATACAACATAAAATAAACAACTGCAGCTAGAATACAACATAAAATAAACAGCTCAGTTAGAATACGACATTAAATAAAACGGTGCTAGAATCGCACATCAAAATTTAAATCTGGCAAATATTCGTACTATGTTTCAAATTACAGTATTCCCTTGTGTAATATCCATCATCATTTAAAACGTTTACCCTTGCCTTTACACATACATGTACTGTCATGTACTGACCTGTATCGCCTGTGATGAACCAAGGTTTTCTGTTTCTCTAATTAGATGAAGTTTCGTCAACGGTGAGTGTGCCTAGAACACGACAAATATTGTGTTTATTATCCTACAGTAAAGACGCTTGTATTATCTTCAGGCCATATGCGCATGAACAAAAATCACAAAAATGGTTTTCTTGCACTTTTTTTATATTTTGTCCGTTTTTGTATTAAGAAAATAACAACTTAATGAGAAAAAAAGGTTTGTGTTTAAAATACTTTTTTTATGACCCAATAGATTAAAAAAATTAACGTTGTTTCTCCAAACTTACAAGCTCTCTACGATAAGTTTTATATCCAGCATAATATAGTATTTGGCATCACTGGAAAGCTGGATTTCTCATGTATGTGATAATCGTATTTTCAATTATCTCGAAAACACCCAAAGCTTACAATCGGCTTTACAAATAACACAAATATTGTATTTTCGTTTCCTACTTTCCGTTACTTTTGCTTTTTTTCTCAGTTCGCACTTTTTAACTATAAAGAACCAATAACATTTTATTTATTAAACAATGCCCACCATATTTTCCTTAATTGTTCCTCATGCAACAATAAAACTTTTGTCACGAGGAAATTTTGATGGTTTTCATAGAAAAAAGTTTATGGTAAATAATATTCAAATTTTGAAACTTTTGAATATAAACAGTCAATCGTGCTAATTGTTGAGCTAAAGTGTTATATAGAATAGGCTAGCATGTCTTAGAATCCCCAAACTCCTGATGTGCATTATAAAATCAGCACTAAAATTACCAGTGTTACCGATTGGTTAGTTATCTCCTAATGAAGCTACGAACAGCTAATGGACTTGATGAAGCCAATAGTCAGTTTACCAGAGTGTCTCACCTTATCACTAGTTACATTATCATGAGTTACCTTATGATATGTTACTTTAAGATGGAATAACTTATTTTAGATTACCTTATGATAATTAGTTTTGCGATAGAATACCTTATTTTAGATTACCCTATGATGGGTTGCCAATATGATAAGTAACCTTATGATAAGTTAACTTATGATAAGTAACCTTATGATGGAATACCTTAATTTAGATAACCTTATAATGAGTTACCTTATCATGAAGCCTGGAACAGCTGATGGACATGATGCAGCCAACACTAAGGCTAAAAATTAGCCACAGTATGTTGAGCACCAGAGTAATGAGGGGCACGGTGTACATAACCAGGTAGTACAGGGTCAGGCAACTCTCGCCTATGGTCACCACGTAGGCCAGGGCCAGGTAAATGTTGAGGAACTTGTTGTAGCTGGAGAAGACGTCACACAGCTTCATGTGGCAGACACGGATCATCTTCAGGTTGGTGGGGATTTTACCGTTGGCTTGTTTAATCTTTTCATACAGACATTTAAAAAACAGAGGGATTTTACCGTTGGCTTGTTTGATCTTTTCATACAGACATTTAAAATATAGAGGGATTTTACCGTTGGCTTGTTTGATCTTTCAATACAGACATTGAAAATATAGGGGGATTTTACCGTTGGCTTGTTTGATCTTTTCATACAGACATTTAAAATATAGGGGGATTTTACCGTTGGCTTGTTTGATCTTTTCATACAGACATTGAAAATATAGGGGGATTTTACCGTTGGCTTGTTTGATCTTTCAATACAGACATTGAAAATATAGGGGGATTTTACCGTTGGCTTGTTTGATCTTTAATGTAGAAAAATACACCAGTTGGTTTTAACAAATGGCTTGAGTCATATGTTAAAATAGACAGAAATAAACAAAGCGATTTTACTGTTATTTTGAGGAAATTCAAATATATACAAAAAAAAACAGGGATTTTATTATTGGCTTGAGTGATTTTAATTTATGCAACAAAATTAATAACAAAAAAACCTTTTGGTAACAAGCTTTATATAATTATGTACTAAAAGGAAGAAAATAAATGAGGTCCTTCAAATATGTAATAATTATTTAATATTTAAGTAAAAAAAAACTAACGTTTGTGTCGCTTATTTAATTATATTTAAGGTATTTAATACATATTATAGCGACCCACGCTGTTCTTTTCCTGTTGCCTGTTTGTAAAAAATGTACAGTTCTATTTAATCTTTAGACATTTATCTCTAATACAATCACGTGACAAATGATACGACCATCATAAGAACGGAACAAACTATATGACTAACTCAAGCACGGGAAAATTATATGACCAACACCATCACGAAACAAACAACCACAAACATGTGAAACATGTCACAAGGCTAAGACAATCACGTGACAAATATCACATGATCAACACTAGCGCGTTAAAAAAAATCTCACCTGCAGATGAAGCAGACGTGACAGACCACCAAACGTGTTTGAGATGTAACTGTTGACGTAGACGACGAAGATAAGGGAGACAATTTGAACCGCGAGATTCCAGGCATGCAGTACCACGGCCATCATGATATATACAGATCGTACAGGGAATGGGGAGATGACCGTCTGCTGCAATGGGCAGACATTCATTTTTGTTGTAATCAACATTGGGATACAAAGATAATTTGAAAACAGAGCTTTTTCCCGCATCTATTAGTGGGGGGAGACTTTACCGTCGCCCCCCCCCCATGAAAGTATACCCCCCCCCCCCCCCGAATAATGTTGACCGCCCCCCACCCGAAAATATCCAGCGCCCCCCTGGAGAAAATACACTGTTTGAAAATAATCTACTTCAACTGTATTTTATTGTGAAGTTCATGTGAGAAGTACACTTTAAAAATCTAGACAGCTCATTTTATTTTGTACTGCATTTTTGACTCAAAAACTGGGTGATTTTGATTCATCACATACCAGTACTGAAAAGAAACTTGATAATTGTATACATTTAGATTTTATCCTTTATTTAACCAGAATCTGTTTATAACCATTGTTCGATACCTTTATGGCCATATCGTTCAAAAACAAAGCTGACGTCACTCCACAGACCATAAACAGCAGGAGGATGGTGCATAGTACTGACATCAACGTCATCAGGACTCGACACGTCCCGGGTTTCAAACCCAGTTCTTGGGTCTCCGGGTCATTAAAGAAATCTCTCCATTTTTTATAGAACTTCCTGTGCAGAGGGATGTTCGAATGTATATATTTGTAATGCAAAGCTCAACGCATCAACCAGAGACATATCTAGGGTTTGGGGTTAGGAGGAGCGCCATATATATATAGTGATTTTACTATGCAATTAAAAATCTACCTAGACATTAAACAAACTAACATAAAAAATAGAATGGGAAGCTGAAAACATAACATTTTAGGGATAGTTGGGGCATTAATTTTAGTGTTTTTAACGGACCAACAATTTGAAAACTCCTAATAAAGTAGTTTTTAGATCTGCACTTTTATACTTTAATATGGTTATGGTAAATAAACTAAAATAGCAATAATGAGTTATTTTTTATGATGCTCGATATTTGCTAAAGTCAAAAATTCTAAATACGTGAACATTTAAATTAAAA